TTAAGGCGAATAAGGCGAGCCCTGTTACTCAGAAATCATTACAGGGTTGATATGAATAACAATGTAATGCTCAAAGAGCAGAAAGCAAAATTAATAATATGTCAAATAGTAAATTGAAATAAACTAGCTGTAAATTAAGAACTCATCTGAAATGAATACCAGGAGGCACAGGATTCCCCAGTCCAGGGTAAGGGAAAACTCGTTCAATTGTTGTGATTTACTATTCCTCAATGTGAGTTTTGAAGTTTCTGCACTGTTCAAGGTTCCTTTCAAAGTTCTTTGGAAAATCTCTTCACAAAATAAGATTATACAGCACCATGTCCTTGCTTCCTATCACCCAGCTAAGCAATTTACTTTCACAGGCAGTCATTATGCTGAAATTCCAAACTGAATGAAGCACTATTTTTTAAAGCAAAGGTATATAGTTCACTGGTGAAGCTCATCAAAGTAACACAGTAACATTTGTTTTTACTCTTTACCTTCTAAACAAAGAATCTGCTTTGATGGGGAGCTATTAGAAGTAGTTTGTTCAGTATTGAAAATTTAAAGAAAACATCTTATGTTTAAGCTGAATTGAATGTCTAGAGTCGGCTGCCACAAATTTAGTTAGACAATCCCACACGTAATCCATGAGTAAGAGTGTAACTTGAATCTGTAAGTGATGCTGAAGTTATTTAGGTCATTTTATGACTTTGCATTACTTTTATAAATACTGTATATTATTTTTGATACCAGCAAGTACAGATTTTCATTGTTTGGCTAAGGTTCTCTTAACAAAACAAAAAAGAAATTGTTGTGTGTTACTATACATACAGTAGTAATGTCAACTGTTTTAAAACCTTTACAGAATCTGTTAGATTACTGAAAACATTACTGGGTTTACTCCAGAAATCTGGAAACCCTACTCCCCTATTAATGGTAGTCTCCTATTTAAAAATATGTACTGAAAGTCAGCTTAATCTATGATAATTCTACAGTTTTCCAAATATAATTTGCGTGATGGGCTGAATTTAGGAGTTGACAAACAAACCATGGATATAATTGTAATTTGTTTAAAATACTGTATACGAAAGATGTTAATAATTCAAGTGCATTAACCTGAAGCCTTTCCTCTAATAAGGAAACTCTAGATCCGAAAAAATCTTAGTCTAGTTGTTGAAGACATCCCAACAATGTACAGCTCATTTCAGAAACCAGCTGCTATTTCCTGCATGAGTTCACTTTCCCCCATATCACATATGTACAATATTGAAATAAGAACATTTACAGTCTGGAAACAAAACGAAATACTATAACAGCAAGTATTGGGTTTTGGGTTATGCAAATACAGTAAGTTCCTCTTCAAAATTCAGACACTGAAAAAATCCTCTATCTATGAAAGCTGTAGGTAAAGCTTAGGCGGGATTCTCACTTAGAGGCATTTAGTCATAATCACACAGGTGGTAGCTCTGCACCATTGGCTCCTCATTGGCTTTCATAAATAGCCTTTTAAAATGTCTTTTAAAAGCCTTTTAAAATATCCCATAGTTTTCCTTTCAAATGTCCCAGTTCTACAGTTTTTGCAGGGGGACATTTATTTTGAAACCTGTAAAAATACATTTGTGAAGGGAATATGAAAGCTAAGTTGAAGACAAAAGTGTTAAAAGCCTCATAGAGAAAGGTAGGCTTATAAAGGCAGTTCAAGAGAGACAAGGGACACATTTTGGCATACAGAAAGTGAAACTGACGATTTTAAAACAGGCTGCCAGGAATGCAAACTGAAGAAAAACGAGTACTTCTCACGGCCTGGGACTCCTATCTACCAGTGTATGGGCTGCTGCTTCTCCAGAGCTTACCCAACTCCAATGAGGTCCAAAAAGACCATGCTGGTTCCTAAGAACATCACATCTGAGGCAACATGCTGCGTGGCGAAAGAAGTCAAGAGGGTAAGAGCCTTCTTTTTCACCGACGTACTCCAGCGAGAGGTAAATACGGGAAATAACAGAATCACTACTTAAGAATTACTGTAACACTTAGGCTTTTATGTTTTGGTAAACAGCTTAGCCCTCTGCCAGATGTGGAACCAGTATCTCGTTTCAGAACAAAGATTTACTGCTGGGTAAATCTTGCTCGTTCGATTGCGTAAAAGGTTTTGAATTCCTTTTTTTTTTTAATCAGCACGTCTCTAAGCTTTCGTCCAGTATCACAGTACAATCCTGTACACTCATGAAAGTGTACGCATGCAGACGTTGATCTAAAAAAAAATGGTTGGATTTTTTTTTTTCCAAAAGCGTTTTGTGTGTTTCATTTTAAATCTTTCATCTGGAATTTGTTTCCTGAGTTCACTGAAGCCTGACTGACACTGGGCTGTTGACTTGTTTTCCTAGATTGTCATGATGGACAACATGAAGCTGGAGAACCACACTGACTGCCACTGCAGCACCTGCTACTACCACAAGGTCTAGTCCACAAAGGACCAAACAAACTCTAACGGATGTGCTTTACAAGTGGCGCAAAGCTTGGAGATTCAATTTCCACCAAAAAAGCAAAACCTTCTTAGCCTGGCTGTTTTAAAGAACCGTTATTTTCTCTGAATGAAGGTAAAAAAATCTAAAAATAAATATTTTTAAAAGATTAAGCTAAAGTCTGTCTTGTGGGCATTTTGGCCTTTTCTCCATTATGCATCTGTCTAATCAATATTTCCACAATCATTAATAAATGTCTGTATGTGCTCATTTTTGCTTCAACAATCAGACGTTTGTTCAAAAAATTACCAAGCTTCTCCAGAGACATAGTGGTGAAGGAGGGGCACTCATGTAAGTTAAAATAAATAATTGTACCAGCTAAGTCACAAAAGTCTGCATTTTCTGTTGATTTTTAATTATATTCTGAAAATTCACTCAACTTCCTTTGTAAATGTTGCTCTAAATTGTGCTAAACCAAATAAAATTGTATTTAAAATATGAAAATAAATATGTTAAAGTTTTTCCTTGAAAACATATTGCATTATGTACAGTACACAAAGTTCAAAACTGTTATAAGGAACTCAACTTAATTTACAAGCAGACAATGTATTCCTTTTACAAACACAGGTGATTCACCAAAATCAAAAACAAAAGCAAAAGAAAAGTGTTTTGATACAGAGTGCAAAAACATCAGAAATACACTACGAAAACTCTCAAATCAAAAACACAACCACACAACACAGATCTGTGCCTCAACTATCATGAAACGGTAAAACTTTACAAACACACACTGAAAAAGAAAAGAAACACATACAAAAACAAATGACTTTCAGAAATCACTAAATCAGAACTGTTTCTGGGAGAAGTGGAACAATTTAAATAAATCAAAACCAGAAGAATTGGCCATCCAAAATGGAACAATCTGGCAAACATACTTTGAAAATCTCTATCAAAAGCTCTGCAAACAGATGAAAATCAATCATACCAAAACACCATATACTGTATGAAAAACTCTTAATTTTGGAATTGGCTATCAAAGACAACCAAAACCCCTTAGACTCCTCAATCACTGAGCAGGAGCTACTGGACAAACTCCAGGCCCTCAGACCACGCAAAGCCTGAGGCCAAGATGGAGTAAACAATGAGATGCGGAGACACAGTAGCAAACAAGCCCCGCTCAAACTCTTCAATCTCATCATGACAGCCGGATGTTTTCCCGAGGCCTGGAACCAAGGACTGATCACGCCCATCTATAAGAGTGGAGACAGACTCGATAACAACAACTACCGGGGCATCTGTCTGAACAGTAACCTGGGGAAGGTATTCTGCAGTATCCTGAATACACGAATACTGCCCTTTCTTACCGAACACAGTGTCTTGAGCAAGAGTCAGATTGGCTTCTTACCAGATCACCACACATCTGATCACATTTACACCCTACACATACTGATCGACATACATGTCCACCAAAAAGGCAAAGGAAAATTTTTTATCTGCTTTGTCGATTTCAAAAGAGCATTTGATTTGATTTGGCATGAAAGATTGTTTTATAAACTACTCCAAATTGGCATAGGGGGCAAAGTGTATGACATAATTAAATCAATGTATTCAGAGAGCAAATGTGCAGTGAAAATTGGAAAAAAAAGGACCAAATTCTTCACCCAAGGCCGTGGGGTGAGACAGGGCTGCAGCCTGGGCCCAACACTGTTCAATATCTACAGTATATCAACAAATTAGCAGGAATGTTGGAACAGTCTGCAGCTCCTGGTCTCACACTACACGACACAGAAATCAAGTTCCTGCTCTATGCAGATGACCTGGTCCTGCTGTCTCTCACAGAACAGGGGCTGCAGCAGAACCTGGCACTGCTGGAGCAGTACTGTCAGACCTGGGCGCTGACAGTCAATCTGGACAAGATCAGAGTTATGGTTTTCCGGAAGAAAGCCAGACCAGTACAAATTCACACTCAACAACAACACATATACACAGCTACACATATCTCAGTCTCACCATCAGCTCATCAGGGAGTTTTGACCTGGCAGTGAAGGCACTGAGGGAGAAGGCACTCAGGGCTTTCTACGCAATAAGAAGTAGGCTCTTCAACATCAACCCACCAACAAGAATCTGGCTCCAAAAATCCAACCCATTGCCCTATACAGCAGTGAAGTGTGGGGTCCCCTCACAGACCAGGATTACACTCAATGGGACAAACACCCCACAGAAACTCTGCACACGGAGATCTGTAGAAACATCCTCCATGTGCAGAGAAAAACACCTAACAATGGGTGCAGGGCCGAATTAGGCCAGTACCCACTATTGATAAACATACAGAAAAGAGTATTAAAGTATTGGGTACTATTAAAAAACACCGACCAAAATTCCTTCCACCACAAAGCCCTGCTGAGCCAAGAGCTGAGCCCAAAACAGAGCTGCTCCTGAGGCTCACTGACCCAAGCCACACCGACACTAACCAGTGTCACACACACACAAACACAACATAAACTGGAATGCTACAGAACCCTAAACAGACAATACATACTAGCCGAATATTTGCCCAAGATAAGAAACAGCAAAACAAACAGACCCTGAAAAGTACAGACTCAGTGACCACAGCCTGGCCATAGAAACTGGGCGACACAGGCAGACCTGGCTGCCCAGAGAGGACAGACTGTTGTCACAGCCTGAGGAACAGTGAGCTAGGTCTAAGTCTGGAGTGACAATAACAGCAACCAACTGTATCCCTATCTTTCCTTCTTAATAAGGTATTACTGCCCCCAATAATAAACAAGAGTCTAACCAGACCACCAAATCCATACAAACACCCAAAGAAGAAAGGGAAACCTAACTGGAACTCCTCCGTCTTTGCTGAATCCATGACTCTTGTAATTTCATAGCACAATCACATCAGTGCCATCAATTTTTCCAAATCACCAAAAAAAATCATGAGTAAGACCTCGCTCTTGCAAACTGCAAGGCAAATTCCTGAATGGATAAGAGCACACCTTGTGAAACATGTCAACAGAATCAGAGCATGTTTAAGGGAGTCAGCTGCCACATTGAATGAAATACTGTAAATTTAGGGGGACAAAAAGAGTCTCTGAGGTCTCAGTTCCCAGTGAGAAAAGGGCACATTTTAAGGAATGTTGTACACACTCACAAAAATGACATCTGTTGATTTTGTCTTTTGCACTTACACATCCACAGTGACATGTAATGTGAAATATGACACTATGACCTGTATAGAATCAGTAAAAAAGAAAAAGAAATACTCCCCAAAATGTTTTTAAGAATTTATAAAACATTACTTTGAAATACTTATTCTGAACCTTTGTAAATTTCCCCAAAAAATGTTTTTAGAAAATGAAAAGACACCTCATATACCAAACAAGTAATTATAACGTAATCTAAAGAAATGGACAACTTTCAGTTAACGTTAGTCTATAACATGCAAATTCCCTATTAGGTTAGAAAACACTTCATCCAAATTTTTTAAATAAAATAGTGCTTAATAGTCACTTAATAAACTCTCCTATAAATGCAACTGTGTGAAAGAAACACTCAAAATAATGTCATTTCATTTTGAAGGTGAAGTCTGTCATTTTAAGTGCTACTCAGTTCTGAGACATTAGCAGTCAGGAAAACAAAAAACTTGAGCTTAATATGATGATTTTAGATTTAATTTAGAAGGACACATAAAACTACTCGTGATACACTCATGCTTCTGTCCGGTTAGAGGACTAATTTTACAATAGGTCCACACCAGAGTGTAATCAAGCAGCTGGATCTGGAGTGTCGATTATGCTTAGTCCACTAGAGGGCATCTTAGAATAAGTCCAAAGGCAGAGTGTTACGCCAAGGCGTCCACAAACAGGTTGGACCCTTTGTGAAGCGAGTGTCTGAGAAGGCAAACAAGTCCGAGAGGCGTAGTCCAAAAGAGCAAAATCCTAGAGTCGAAAGGAGAGGTCAAAATCCAAGTAAAATTTCCAGGAAAGGGCTGGTTGAGAGTAAAGCAAGCAAGCAGCAAACTGGCTAGCTTGTGACTCAAAATACCGAGCAAGAAAGTGTGGGAACAAGGAGTTTAAATAGGGAAGAAAAAGGGACATGATTGGAAAATGAGGTAACGAGTGCAATTAATGGGGCCAGATGTGGTGGAAGACCGTAACACAGAGGGAGGTAATAAGTTTCCACTTTGGCATGAGGTTGTGAGAGGAATGGACTCCAGCAGACTGCAATCTGATTCCTGTATACAAAATGTCAACGCTCAACAGGTGTGGTACATTAAAAGTGTAGGATATACTGTTAAAGTCTCGAGGTGAAAATCCGACTGTACTGGAAACCGTTTAGTCTTGCAGTTGAACAAAATATCAGCCCAACTGTTGCTGTGTCAGTGGGTGCTAACTTTCCTTGTTTGAGAAACATCCCTGGCCAAATAGGATCAGCCAAACAGATTCCAGCCTTAAGGGGAAATGATAAAGTGATAAAAACCCCAAAATTGTCTTACTTTTATCTCTGAAATACTTTACTTCATCTGTTACTCTTTTTTTGCTGTTGTAAAGCAAAAAAAACTTTATTTTAATATTATGTGGGAAATGGGAAGACCAGCACATAAGGGACGTAAGTCAAAGTGGGGTTGGTCGGGTGTCAACCCCAGTTCCATATTTCCCATAATAAAAAGGGGGGACAGGTTGTGTGTAGATCCTATACTCCTATACCGCCACGCAACCAGGTTAGTTAGTTCCACCAAACAGAGCCACAGCTCATCCTGGTTTCCTGTAGTGCTACGCAGACTAGAGAGCATGTGACTTCTGCCACCTGGATGGGATGCTGGTCAATTTTGGGGATTACCCCCCACCCAGCAAGTGCTGGTCCCTAATCATACAGCTGGGTGAACAGGAGCAAAGTACCTCTCTTAAAGGTGCATTCGGTCAGCTATCAGTCCACTAGCCTTACCCACTGTGCTACCAATGAGAACATCAAATTGTTCCAAACTAATTTATTTTAAAACCTAACCACTGTTATTACAAAC